GCATGTACGCATGTCTGCACGTGTGCATGTGTGCATGTGTGTATGTATGTATGTATGTATGTATGTATGTATGTATGTATGTACGTAGGTAGGTAGGTAGGTAGGTAGGTAGGTAGGTAGGTAGGTAGGTATTTATGTAGCTATGTATGTAGCTATGTATGTATGTATGTATGTATGTATGTATGTATGTATGTATGTGTGCACATACATGCATGCACACATGCCTGCAAACATTCATGTATGCATGCATGCCTTCATTCATCCATCCATCCAGCCATCCTTCCATTCATCCATTCATCCATCCATCCATCCGTCCGTCCATCCGTCCATCCGTCCATCCGTCCATCCGTCCATCTATCCATCCACCCATCCGTCCATCCATGCATTCATTCATTCAGTCAGTCATTCACCATTCATTCTATAAGACTTCATGCAATCGCAGCCTCGTTCATGCATCATGCCTTTGTTGATACATCTCTCCTCCGTCCATCCATCCTGCCATCCGTCCATGCATCTATGCCGTCTCACAGGCATACACACATGCATGCATTTGCACATACATTCCTCAATACAATCGTCTCTGTATACACACATACAATAAGCATGCATATACGTACAATTATAGGTATATATACACACATATTAATATATTCTTTTCATTTTCTTTTATGTATTTTTATATGCCCATACTCTGCAGCTCCTCGAGGTGAGCGCACCGTCTGGGAACGAGCGCAGCGTGAGGGCGAGCAGCTCTCCCGGCACCAGCGGACAGGTTCATAGTTTGCAGATCTGAGGACCCCCTGAATATGGCGATGGACACTTTTTGTGAGGATGTCCTTGATGACGAAGAAGATCGTGAGAATGACGATGCTGCTGTGCTTGCCCGTACTGGCTTCGAAGGTTCTCAGTGTTGTTTCACTGCCAAACACTCGCCTCTCTCCTTCAGTGGAGTCCTACGTGTGGAGCCCCTTAGCCCGGAAGTCTTCAACCTTCCAGGATGCAGCCTGGAGTAGGGCAACCTCCGGCACCCAAACTCCGAAGTCTGCTTGGGGTCTAGGATTCAGGGTCTGGAGGGTCCACGTTTCCGGGCTTACAGCAGCTGGTCACTGCTGACTGCTCAATGTGAACTCCGGAAACAAAACAGTCGAAAGCCTGCACCTGTGCTCCCTGGCACTACTTCAATCCTGAGCCCGACAATGAATAGATGCTCACCTGCTGTGTAGATGTAGTGCTACTAAGTTTTAAGGACAGATCCATAGTAGTGTTGCCGATGCGCCATTGAAATTAACTCGTCCGGTGGGTTCCGAGGCAATACCTGCCAACGAGGGTCTTGGAGGCTCGTGCCCCATCTGGAGTCTGCAGTAGCTTCAGGAGTGCGAAGCTTCGGAGAGGTGTAGAGGAAAGCTTTCGGGCGCCTCAGGCCTCACGTGCTTTTCGGATACCTGACTGAGTCTACATAGACACTTACCACCGGCGATACGTGCTACGAAGGTTGTGGCATTTTGTATGCTTGACAGACAGACGAGCTACTCTTGTGGGAGCTGCTGTGGGTTGATCCAGACAGGCTAGAAGATTGGGTTCAGGGCGAAAGATTCGTACTGATGGAAGTGCAGACCATCGGCCTACCAACTGCATGGACTCCGGTTGACAGCATCCGTTCGTCCAGACATCAGGAGGCTTCAACACATGTCCTGCAGCCGAAACTGCCGAAACACAATGCTGAATGCCACGGTCCAGAAGTCAGCCCATTATTGGAACATGCCTACAACATTCAATCCAATCCATTTGTTCTTTAACCAGTGGCTGAGGGCCTGCTTCCCGAAGCCTTGCTCAAGAGTTATCGCTTCTACCAGTCCGGCTGCTCAGTTCGGGCTTGAGGGTCTTCGGGCCCAACGCGTCCCAATAGCGGTTCGGGGGTGACTACGACAAGCAACTGACTAGGATTATTGACAAAGGTTGGTGAAGAAGGAGGTTGTGGTTGATAGTGGGTGACGGTTCGCAAATACTTCTGATGGTCGACTTTCTCTGCAGTTGTGGATACGATGATGGCGATGGTGATGGTGATGATTGTCGTGAGGGGAGATGACGACCAGAAGCGACGAAGCTGCCAACCCGTTGAAATCTGAATATTTGTGATGCCAGACCGCGAGTGATACTTGTGTTTGTGCAGCTCAGGACCAATTCCTGGCCACACCGGGTGATTCACGGATACAAGGCTTCCCTCCGTCGTGTGTCAACGGAGGTCTTGGCCGCTCATGGGCTGGAAATATGTCCTGATCGACTGCTCGTGGGCATTCGTTGAGCCTGAGCTACAGCTTTCACGGTCTAGGTCGCAGTGTTCTGGCCAATGTAGAACCACGTAGAACCTTTTGGAGCATTTGGATGGAAAAGGCTTCGGTGGTACAGGTGGAAATAGTGCCAGCAGCAGCAGGCAGGCGCAGGAACAGCAGCAGGAGCGGGAGCGGGAGCGGGAGCGGAGCGGGAGCGGGAGCGGGAGCGGGAGCGGGAGCAGGAGCAGGAGCAGGAGCAGCAGTATTACGAGTACCAGGAGCAGGAGTAGTCGTCGTCGGTGGCAGTGGTAGTGGAAAGTGTAGAGGTATGGCAGTGCTAGTGTGGTATTGGGAGTGGCAGTGGTGGTAGTAATTAGTAGCAGTACCGGCAGCAGTGGAATTATCAGCAGCAGCAGTAGCCGGCCGTAGCACTGCTGCAGCAGCAGCAGCCGGAGGAGGAGGAGGAGTAGTGGTACTAGCATCAGCAGTGGCAGTAGCCGTAGCGCTGGAGCAGAAGCAGTAGCAATAGTAGCAGGAGCAGCAGCAGCGGCGGCAGCGGTAGTAGGAGCAGCAGCAGCAGTAATAGCAGCAGCCGCTGCCACTAGTATAAGTAGAAGTGCGGGACTCGCAGTCGAAGAAGAAGAAGTAGTAGTAGCCGTCGTCAATGTCGTCATCGTCGCAATGATTGCAGTAGCCGCAGCATAGTAGTAATGGTGAAGGGAGATCAAGGAAGAGTTGCACTGATAGGAACAGTAACGGCCACAAGCGCAGCAGCGTGTGCTTCCGGCCGCCTGTCGTGGCTCAAGCGGCCTCCCAGCAGCTTGCAAGTCTGCCGTGCCCTCGCATCGCCATGTGGCCGCCGCTTCTGCTCCTCATTGTGGCCTTGGGGCAAGCCAGCAAGGAAACGCTTCACGTCGTCGACTTATCGCAGGCCTGTGAAGAGTTGGCAATAGTAATGATCAAAACCGTCTGCATGACAATGCTACTTTAAAGAGAATGACGAAAAATGATCTCACCAGCCGTGCTCAGAGTGCCAGAAATACTTCTAGCGACGTCATCACAATGATCAAGATCATCAAGAGTCGCAATAGTTGCAACGCACCATTGCGACCAAAAGCATGGTAAGCAAGCTGGTAACGAAAAATCAGTATTAGGAGAAACCTTGTCAGCATTAGCACAAGAAGCTAAAATACCAATGGTAATGATCGCAAAGGTTGCGAGGGTACTAGCAATATGAGTAGTACCGGCATCAACATCTAGCATGATCGAGATGATACGCGTCGCACGCACGCAACCGTGATGGTCGTGATTATACTCGCAGTAGCAAGGAGACAGCGAGAGAGAGAGGGAGAGAAAGAGCTAAAGCCTCCTGGTAGATGCTGGGAGAGCTTACCCTAAGTACTTACTTGCAGTAATTAAGCTTCTGTTGAGGGGAGCAAGCGGCCTTTCTCTGTTGTCATCAACGCTTGAAGTGACTTTCTGAGGAGAACTGCAGTGAGCTTTGGCTATCCTGTCTAAAGTTTGGTTTACATCTCCTCAAAAAGAACAGAAGAGCAAGTAGTTTCAGTGACGGCATGAACCCCAGGCACAACGTGACCACCTGAGGGGGACAAACATAGTTCTGAAAATACTGTCGTTGGTTCACTTATCTGCATGATATAATGTCTCGACTCCTACTTGCAGTGGCTGTTAGTGATGCATGCATGCTCAGTTGCAGAACCCCTTCCTAGTAGCTGGCCGGAATCTCAGAGTGAGTGCAAGCAGTTGACCATGTCGTGAATTTCTCGTGAGCATGTATACCTGTAGCTTCTCGCATGTCGGTGTCGGAGTTGCTTGAAGCGAGGGGTCGACCAAATCTGCGAACTATGGTATGTTGTCAAGTCCCTTTGCCTTAGGCCGTGCTGTTTAGGGGGAAGTCGATCCTAGTTGTGCCCGATTGTGCAGCCGAGCCATTGGGGGCGAAGCCCCTTGGAAACCTCAAAACCCGGCAAGAACCCGCAGGTGCGCATGCGCACTGTGGGTTCGAACGTGCGCTCGTTCCCTCTGTCCTGATAGATAGAGAGAGAGAGAGAGAGAGAGAGAGAGCGAGAGAGAGAGATAGATAGATGATAGATAGATAGATAGATAGATAGATAGATAGATAGATACACAGACACGGTACCGCTAATCCGCCTGAGTAAAAATGCTGCAGGTGATGCACGACAGTTTCCCATGTTTACGAGAGAGGGAGCTAAATTCGACCGACAGTAACTTTTGCTCGCACCCCGAAGGCAATTACGATAGACAGAATGGGACCTGTGGACGGCTTCGTTTACTTGTAATACTTGGTGTTCTTCTGAAAAAAGGTCCCATGTACGCATGTGTAGACGTTCTCTCTCTCTCTCTCTCTCTCTCGCTTTACAATGTGCGTAACCCGACTCTTTTCTGACTGAAGTCTTCGTCTGAAAGTATGACCCAGAGGGGGGAACACTGTCTTCTTGCATCTCATACTGTTGCGAGTCTGCAAACAGGGTCATACAAAGGTCCAACCCTGCGGGGGAACATAGCCGCTAGTAGTCATCGTACATACTTCATCTCCTGACATATGACACCCGGGGAAAGTTCTCACGTCCCCGCAAGGCCCCATAACATGCGGGGGGCCCATGCGGCCGGGGGGCCTTAACCGTTCCGCAAGCCCTATGGAAGAGAGAGAGAGAGAGAGACGTTGATTGCCATAGGGGCCCGGAGATGAGGCCGAGATGCGGGTTGGGGGTGTAGTGTAAAGGGTCGGGGGGCTTGCTGCTGAAAACATGAGACAAACTTGGTACTCTTATGCAGCAGTCAGCGGGGACCCCAATGCCGACCACTCATTCACCCAATGGGTGGTTGGGCGGGCCTGTGGCCTGAGGGTCGAACGTTCGACCCCAAAGCCCAGCAGAAAGAGAGAGCTGTAGCATCAGCAAGCGCCAGTGTTAACTGTAAATGGTATGCCCTGAGACTAAGACTTGGAGTTGACAGGTGGTGTGCCCCAAGCCGCAGAGCAGCAATCCAAATGCGCCTGTTCTTCCTGAATCCTGGACTATTAGGGCGAGTAAAGCAATTATGCCATTGGGTGTCAAGGCTTTTTCAGAGCACTCGATCTTGGAAAGCTTCAAGCTGTAGGATGGTTCCAAATTCAAGATGATTTTGGTTAGGGTCATGCAGGCGTTGGTTTTTGGTTGGAAGGAGCAGACTGGGAACAGGTTGAAGGTTGATGGCTGATCTGTTTCCAGTTTGCCCTGCAGACAGCGTGGCATCAACGAAGCCTCGAGAGATGTGTCATCTGCGGACGGCACATTTGTCGGGTTTCCCCTGTAGATGCAGACACATCTCATGTGGAGCACGTTCGTGTTTTCAAGTTTCTTCGGTGTTTTTTCTGGGCAGCCGATTTCTTTAGATTTCTGGGCAGCCGATGCGAAGCTGTTCTGTTCCAGAAGTGGTGTGTAAGATGTCAGCTGACAGAGTTTGCCGGATGATGCAGTGCACAGCCGAGGACTACAACTTGGGCATTGAGCAGACGACCTCAATGGACATGGATTCCCCGTACATTGTCAGCTTCATGCGCGCGAGCAAGCAGGTCAGAGCAAAGATGCTTTTGATCTATTCTCCAGTGTCTGCGAAATCTGAGCATCTTCATTGTGTTGATCTTGCTCGGTGCACTCGCTGACCCAGGATCTTGCTGCTCAATCCTGCTCATTTATCAACGTGCTTGTGCTGCTGCCACTGCCACCACGGCTGTTGCTGCTGCTGGCGGTAAGATGTCGTCACCAACCTTCATGGCCAAGTAAATTAACAGGAGACCGTCTGGCTGTCTGAAACCCGAGAGCTGTGTTTTTTTGACATACAGCATTTTGTTCTGGTTGTGATCCGTATCAACCCACAGTAAAAGGGGCGTTGTGTTTCGGGATGCGCGTGAACTTGTGATTTGTTGGATGCCTGCCAGGCAATGTCGATAAGTTTCAAGATTTTGGATTACAATGGCGACACGGTCGTGTCCGACACCACTGTGCAGCTAGAAGACTTGAGTACGTCGGTGCCAAGCTCATGCACATGTACATCGCCGACGATTCCTCAAGAGGTGGAGTCCAAGTATGGTCAAAGCTATGGGACTTCGTGTCAGGCGTGGGATAACGCCAACTGTGGCCAGTTGTGGGGCTGCCTGACTTGACTTCAAATCAGAGTGTTGTGATGCTATAGCTCGTTCACGCTCAGTTGTCCTGCGTGCGATGACCAGTGATGTGCATCATTGAGGTGACTTGTCGGTGGGCTCCTGGTGCTGTAGACCTTGGTGTTATGCGTCGCAGGACTGTCCAGATGCATACCGAAGTGAGGCGATCCCAGGTCAGTACTTCAGTTATGCGGCCTGTGACACTGTGAGCCCAGCCTCACCTTGCACGTGGACATCTGTGGCCGAGCAAAATGATCCGTGCAAGTGCAAGAACTCCGCGAGTGTGCTCCTTGGAAGCTATCGGTTCGATGTAGGTGTGGACCTTCGTGGTTCAGGATGATCTTGCCATGATAAAAGCACCGAGGTTCAGCACTGCAATGAATGCCACATTTACAAGCGACTACGGAGCCACCTGCGGCACGTGGGACATGCAAAACTGTGACATCAACTACCGGCCAGACCAGGTAGACACCTGGTGCTGCAAAAGCTGGTGCTACGTGGCTACTCGGGTGTTCCTTGAGAGGCATCGAGTTTTCTCGGATTTCTCTTAAACCTACATCAACACCGTCAATAGGATAGATGGGGGGAGAGCAACCCAGGACAAGGAATGTTCCACCGCAAAGCAGTCCCTGAATCCTGGCATGGAGGGTCTCTTATTCTGGTCCGACAACGTTTGCCCAGACGATCCTCTCCTGGTTTCACAGTGCCCCTACAAGCCGAAACCGAACATCACGGCAGGGAGCACTGCCTGCGCTTGCCTGGACGTGTCGATGCCTACCTATGACCTTTTGAAGGCTCCGCAGCCATGATCCGTGCACACTAGCTTTTCTTTGTTTCTATTGAATGACACCCGATAGCCGATACTATGTCAGATAAATCCCAACCTGCTTCCTGCTGGAGCAGCTGGCCTACTAAGACGATCATCAGCCTTGTTTTCTTCACGATGTGGACGGACCAATCACGTCTCAGTTCGTAGGTGGTTCCCGCTGCTTTTTAGCATGACGACGGTCAGAGTCTGTCTTAGTATTTGTTGTAGTGGTGGCACCGGTGTTGCCATGCCAGCTGCTTTTCTTTCTTTCGAAGGCTGGCCTGGACTCGACCTACTCAGACTACGGTCGACAGTGTGCGCCTCACGATGCGACCATCTGCGAGACTACGTACCCAAATGCTGCGCATGACATGTGGTGCTGCATGTCGTGGTGTTGGGTTGACTCGAGCTGTCCACATGCACGAGCATCAACACAGTGGCCCGGGAAGTTCTTCAGCACCGCGGGCTGCGAGATGGACGCGGACGTGGTCTCGAGCTGCAAATACTCACGCGTTTGCGAGTGCCTCGGAAATACTAAAATTTAAAATCCCTTTCACGCGGTGTAGACTCATATCCTGAAGCTTTCAAGTTCCTTTGCCGTCGTCTCTGCTCGACAGCTGCCATTCTACACGTTGATTCCCTGCCGTGAGACATTCAGAAATTCCTCACCACCAAAGTCTAAAGTACCTCTCAGCACAGCTTCACAGCGTGCATCAGGAGACACTGCCATGATGGAATCTTCCACTGACTAACACTGCCCGAGTCAGCCCGAATCACTGAGGTGCCGTGGCTCGCTGCCAGCCGGGACGCTGCCTGCGGGATTCTCCAGCTCCTACGGCTCCTCATGCACCAAGGTCGCAGCTTCATTTCTTCTCGTACGTATGGTTTCATTTTGAAGGATCGTTTCTTGGTCCTTGTCCTGCTGACGATTGCCGGTTGTGGTTGTGCACTAGAATGCCACATTGCTCCGTCTGACTGCGTAACTGCAGATGTAGTTTCCCCAACGCACGATACACAAGCGAGACTGTCACGAGTTCGTCGCAGCCTAGACCATGCAATGAAAGGTCCCCAGAGTTGCAGAATCCAATGCCTCGAACATGCCCAAAGCATCGCAAAGGGTCTCTCTGCCTCCATCGACATGGTCGTCTCAGGCAGTGCGTGGGATGCCACTGGCTGCAAGGCGACATGGAGCCCCTTCGCCGAACTGGCTGTCGAGCTAGGGAGCATCAAGTCTTGCGGTTTGGGCTCGCTTTCTAGCGTTCCGCACCCTAAGGCGCTGATTCGGACTCGCAGTGGCATACGCAATCTGATCACGAGTGGTGCTGTGATGCATGGTGCTACGTCGACAATGCTCTCCGGCGGCCAGAAGACTCCATGCTGATGAGTTCGGAAAGTCGCTGCACGCAACTGCGTTTGTTGCTGTCCCCACTGCTGAACTCGTAACATCGTAGTGGGTTGGACATGCCATGCTGGCCTGCATTCAGCCATACTCCAAGGCTTGCCCTATCGCCAAATTGTCCTGGCTTGGCACTGGATACTATTTCAGCTACGAGACATGCCACTCGAGCCTGTTTGTTCGAGACTGCCAGCGCGCTGTGGTCTGGGCTGTGTCGTGCCAGTTTAAGTTTCTGGGGTTGTTGTGAAGGAAGTTGTTTGGTGAAGCTGGTTTCAGTCGCGATGCATGATGCCTGGGGCGGTCAGCGGTGACAGCAGCGAGCTGCGAACATGCTCTGTCCGCAAGACATCCTCAGGTGATGACCCATCCACGAACTATGACGAGCCATCCGACTCGTGCATTTCGACCCGGAGGCGTGCTCTCAGAAGGCTGGGTCAGATGATTGAGGAATCTCTCGATGAGGCCATTGGGGATGGGAACCTGGGGTTGACTTTTTGAAAGGATTGATGCCATGAGCCCTCGCTCCACTTTTTTGACAGCCGGACCGAGGTGGACCCAGATGAGTCTGAGGAGCGGCGACTCTCAGCCAGAAGACGCATCGGTGAAAGTGCCCGCCGGCGAAGGACTGCCACCTCGACTGCCCGTCGGCGACGCTCTCCACCTGCGCCTCCCACTACTGCGAGAAGGCGAGCTCCTTCGAAACCTTCTGCGGCCAGCCGTCGTCGCAGAGCTACCCCGACAACGCCACGGCGACGAGCAGTTCGCCGCAGAACGCCTCCTCCGACACCACCTGTCGTATCAAACAGCCGTCGTCGCAGCACTGGCATCGGCGGGACGCACACGATGACTCCCCGCCGCAGACGTGCACCGACTACCACTCTCAGTCCACGGCGGCGTGCCACTCCGTCACCAACAACCACTCCGTCTCCTTCGCCGACTGTCAGTCCGCGGCGCCGTGCCACAACCACCACCCCGTCCCCGTCGCCGACTGTCAGTCCACGGCGTCGTGCCGCAACCACCACTCCGTCCCCGTCGCCTACTGTCAGTCCACGGCGTCGTGCCGCAACCCCAACTCCGTCCCCGTCGCCCTCGCCGTCGCCGTCGCCTCCGACAACAAGGCGAAGGCGAAGTACGCCGTACGGCTACAACAGCAAGAACGACATGATGAACAACCATGGTGGGACCATGCCTCATCAGACCAACTACGGTTACTCTGGCTCGGATGCTGTCTCAGCCAATTCGAACACTAATGTCGCCATTTATGCGGCAGGAGCAGCGGTTGCTGCAGCTGTGGTTGGCGCTGGGGCTGCATATGCCTATAACAGCATGTACGGAGATGCATATAGCGACCACCGCCGCCGCCGAGCAAACTCGTTCGAAACGCCAGACCTTTGCACCGTCACCGCCGCTGGAAGTCGAAACGGCGACTTCATGGAATGCCAGAAGTGCTACGACCACTACGGCCGCGACCTTAAGCACCGGGAGTGCCTTCCTGTGACCCCTTATCTGAGAGTATTCTGATGATGATGATGATGATGATGGTGGTGGTGATGCTTATGGTGATGATGATGGTGCCATCGCTACTGATGGTGTTGGTGACCATGATCATGACCATGGTGACCATGATCCTGATCATGATCAAGACCACCACTGCAGTTTTGTTCTGGCACTTAGCGGTGTCCTGGCATGTCGAGAGTCGTGGCATGAGGCATTTCCAGCTGTCCCTCTGCAAGTTCCTGTGTCTGGGCTTGACTGCACATCAGATTGTCAGCGGTTTTTGTCGTTCGCAGTGGTCGAGTTTGCCGTCGTACTCGTGGTTGCCGCAGTCGTAGAATGCCCGAAAGAAGAAGTAACCGCGGTGGCAGTAGTCGCCGCCGTCGTCGTCGTCGTCGTAGTAGTAGTAGTAGTGGTAGTGGTAGTGGTAGTGGTAGCAGTAGCAGTAGCAGTAGCAGTAGCAGTCGCGGTCGCAGTCGCAGT